TAGCTGGTGGAACTCCTTTAGAGTTCTGCAGATTCCTCCTGTTTCCAGTTGAGCTTGAAGCTCTGAAAGATCTTTCTACCAGTGGTAGGTCCTGCTTTTGGATCCGAGTAGGCAGGGCGCATGGGATTTGCCAGAGGCGTAAGCTGCCTGTTGTGTTCTTTCTTATGTTCTAAAACTGTGGTAGCAGGAACTGCTTGTCAGGGTGGTCTCTCTTATGCAAACTCTTACAAATCTTTTAGGAATGAGACTCTTGATTCATTTTGTGCACTAATTGTTATTGATTTAAAGGCTACATTCTGAATTTCAGGCTGCTTTCCCAGCTAGGGATATGCCAAGAACACTTGTCTTTAAGGGATTAGAAACTTTTTTGTAGAGAACTGAAGAAGTAATACTTCTCATGATCCTACAAGTATGAGTAAAACTATGAGTATGGACTGAAAGATCACTGGCTGTTTGCCATATAATTACAACGCTCAGCTTATCATAAAAACAGATTTCATGTTTCTCTCCTGCTAGGAAATAAAGGTTTTCTCAAAATAGAGCATCCTGCAGGCAGAACACTCAAGACAAATGGCTCATGAGAAGAAGTGACATCTGGAATCTGAGAGATTGATGCCTGGCTCATAGGATAATCATACCCTGTGCATGGTGGGGGAGTGAGCTCACACCTGTATTATTTCCAAGGCTAGTGGGTATCACCTGTGGGATGCATACATATGAGAGACAATGCACAGAGACCTGGATTTTATTCATATATTTATGTATTAAATATTGATGCCTTTGATCAGTAAAATAAAACCTCAGTAAAGTTACTATTGGACACAACATATTAGAAATAAAAGGCATGCTAGAAGAAGGTCTTAAACTGGAGCCTAAACATAAACAGTGAAGATGTCAGGCAGAACTTCTGGGGAATGGCAATCTGTGGGCAGGGGCCACTGTACAGGCAAGCTCTTTCCTTGGATGTCTGTAACATTTTTGTGGCAGTGGAACTCACCGTCTCTGAAGATAACCTTAGCAATTGAGCAGGATCATATGACAGAAGACATTCCACTAAAGCTGTTTAGGCTTTAAAAGTCAGCACAGGCACTTTGAATCAGATCTAGATGCTGGCTGATGCCTAGTACAGTTGACACAGCACTGGTGTAATAGGCTCAAAATGGCCAATCCTGGAAGGCAGATTTGCTTCTCTAGTCTGTACAGAGGGACATTTCTGAACAGATTTCAGAGGTAGCCCTCTGTATAATGCAATGCAACAATTCAGGTTGGAGGTTACCATGGATAACAATAGCTAGGCTATCTCTGTCCAAGTAGGGTGATAAAATGGGATAATGCCATTTCATGCCACTGAAATCGCTTTTGCCTCAAGTGATAGGCTGGGTCTGTGAGCATCCCACAAACTACAAACTTGATCCTTCTTGGGTGGGTATTACTTAACTAGACAGATGAACGAAGAGAACTTCTGGCTTTTCAGTATTGTGTTTCAAGTTTATTGGTTCTCATTCAGCTCATAACAAAAATCCAAGTACCAGCTCAGGATATTCACTACCTCACTTGTTGTTAGTTGAGAAGTTGAAGTTGCGTCCGACCAATCTCATGGACAACATTCCTCCAGGCCTTCCTGTCCTCCACCATCCCCCAAAGTCCACTTAAGCTCACTGCATTTGATAAAAAAGGGAGGTAGAATTTGCATTTCATCTGCATATTGACAACATTTCTCTCCATCCCTGCCTTCATGTAAATGTCCCAAGACTTTTAAGTATGGGACAGTATAGAATAGTTTTAAATAAATAAATAAATGGACAAAATAGGGCCAAGATGAATGTCAAAATACAGTTTCCTCATGAACCAGAACTGTAACCCTGTAGCACCACTTTCTCATACTGACTGTCCCATAGAAATGGAACCACTGTAAAATAGTGCTGTCAGGTCCCAGCTCAGGACGCTGCAACCAATGGGGATGCAAGCCTCCTGTTTTTCTCCTAGCAAATATCATCTCACAGGATAACCATGGTTTCTCCACCCTGAAAACAAACCTGCAATCCAGTTGAAATGTGTCTAGATAATCATTATAATACAGAAAATGAAATTGGTCACCTTGCCCAAAATTGGGAGACTGACTACTGGTCTAAAATCACTAAGGTCCTGTGGATCCAACTCCAGCTTCTTCAGGAGAGGCTAAACTACTGACTCTTTTAAAAACTTTTTTTTGAAAGAATCACTGACCCTGGATCTAGGTCCACAGACCAGATCTACTAGGATCAAATATATAGGTGGTCAGATGAACACATCCAGGTTCTGTCTGCATTGTCAGAACTTAACAACTAAAACTCATACCGGCACAAGATGGTGCACTGGACATCTCCACTATCTGGTTTGCATTTCTGATAAAGTCTAAGTCATATTGGACGTAAGTTACGATCTTAAAAGTGTACAACAAACAGCCAAACATTCAATTAGATCAAGGTTGGTTACCAGACCTCCTAAAATTGTCTACTCCTGAATTAGATCTTTCTCTGATCAACCTGTAGAAGGTTGTGAAACACCCAAAATATAAACCTTATTGAAATTTTACACCTATGCATCTTACAGGTAATTAAGGCAGCCATGCTGGGTTGGCTCAGAGGGCACTAATAAAGACTGGTGGTGTTAGTTTTTACTTGCCTGTTTGCAGCGTTGGCTTTTCATAAGATTTTGCAACTTGAAACTGCTTAATTATTGGTTTGCACAATTGACACCTATGTGTGTGTACATGATGAAGCAGAGTAAATGTATTGTGATCACCAGCTATGACACTTTTACTAATTTCATGGTCTTCTAAATTCTTTACAGATGAGTTGCAATTCTTGGGTACATAATACTTTTCCTTCTGTTTTTAAAGTTTTTGTAAGTTTTAAACCAGAGCAAGAACTTCAGTCAAGATCTCCAACCCACCCACACCTACCTAACACATTAGATTTTCAAGCTCATCATTAGTAAGTTGCCCACACTAGCTCTCAATTATTCAGGTTGTGTCTAACACTGCCTGCTGATGGTTTCTGCTAATGTTAACAGTTTTGCCAAATGCTACAGGTACCATGTGGTCAGCATGAAAGTATTAATCATATGAAAATTCAAAACAAGCATTTTGTTGCATGCTAAATTAAAACCTGAAATGGACAATGTCCTCTACCAGCAGATCTAGAGTTCTTGGTTTGCTTGGTGCTCTCAGAAACCACTTCATCAAATCAGTCTCAAGGAATAGATAGTCCAAATTAGGAAAACAAATAGGAAAATCTTATCTATCTCTTGTTGCAAAAAAGCACCTATTTGGATGAGTCCCACTGTTTGCAATTGAATCTCCTCCTGTGTATAAATTTGCCTGTGTGTTGAGATCCTTTTCACAGCATTTATTGTGCAGCCAGATGTTGGAGGCAGGACCAATTGGTACACATTTAGTTAATTGATATAAAATGTGAGAATAAAGTAAGGAGGTTTTGGGTAGAAGACATGCAATTGTTGATTGGATAGACTTTGTATACAAGAACATGAGAGCAGCTCTGCAGGATTAGGCCAAAAGCCCATGTAGTGCGGCATTCTCTTCCCATTGTGGCCAACCAAACACCTGTGAAAAACCCATAAGGAGAACATAAAAATAAGAACTTTAGAAAAGCCATACAGGCTCAGGCCAATGGTCCATCTAGTCAAGCATTCCGTCAGCTTAGTGGCAAGCCAACTGTACGCAGGATCCGTCAACTGTGCCCCCCCCCCCCCCGTCCTTAGAAGGCATATTGATATGGGTACATTAGTTCTGTCCTGCACAAGCTCCCCAGCAGTTGGTATATGCAGGCATCTTGCCTCTGATATCAAAAGTAGTCCATGGGCAACAACAGTTTAACAGACGCTGATGACCACAATAGCACTTCTTGGGCATGTTCTTTAGCAACATATAATTGGCCACTTCATATATCAGGACAACCCAGTTTTTCCTTTCTAAAAGAGACTGAATATTTTGTCAGTGTGTGCAGGTGCATTCAGCTCCCACTAAACAATCTCATGGGCTGTTGTTGTTGAGGCTGCTTTACCCATGTTCCTTCAATCCCTCTTCCTCCCGGCAGTCCTCAGGATAGTGTGCCTTTTGGTCTTGTCTGTAAGATTCTAGGTGCTTGGGAAAAGTGCACTCTGCCCTCCTTTTCTTTGGAAAAAGAGTTTTGACAGCTAACAATCAACATTCTGGGTTCCTTTACAAAGGGAGTATAAATCACAGATCCTCTTTTCATGAGTAAGGATCACCCAGCATGAAGAGAAACCAAGGGGCAGGGGAACTGTTTGGTGTAATGGCCAGGGTTGTTACCTGCTTCATCCTGGTATCAGGTATCCACGCCTGGACGTTGCCACAGCTGAGATTTCAACCTTCTGTCCTTTACACAAGTATGGTGTAAAGAGCAAAAGCAAAAAAAAAAAGGGGGGGGGAAGCCACACTTGAGTAACCTGTGCGCACAAGATCTTTTTGAGCAAATTGTCTGCCAGTCACTAACAGCCCCTCCACAGTAAAACTTAAGAACTTTGAAGGGGCTGTCCATGGCTGTCAAAGAAGGATCTCTGGGGAAAAGGACAAAATGGGAAAGAAGCCACGGTGTGCCAAAAACAGCTTGTAGCCACAGCAACAAGGGAGGAAACGAGTCACTCCTACTGCAGTGCCTTGGATAGCCACAGGGGTGCAGAACCCCTGTTGAGTCTGATCATCTGTTGGGTGCACCATGTGGGTTGGTCACATGATGACCAAACTACTGTGAATGTGTCAATATCTTCCAGATGTTTTGGATTACACCCTCCATATACCTCAGTCCATATGACCATTTGTCAGATGATGGGAGTTGTCAGAAACATCTAGAAGGCCTCCTTTTGCCTCCTTGTGCTTTAGTTGGGTGCTACTATGGCCTCTTGCTTGTGTGTGTGTTTTTTTAAACATGTGCCTGCACTTTGCATGTGGATTTACTGAGAAAACATTTCTCTTTCAGCCTTTCTTTCAGCTCATAAAGTTACGAAAACTTGGACTTAGTGATAATGAAATTCAGCGACTTCCTCCAGAGATCGCAAACTTCATGCAGTTGGTAGAACTTGATTTGTCTCGAAATGGTAAGTTTGAATATGTGTAAATCTGTTTTAGGCAATTCTCTTCTGGCATGGTTCAAGATGAGTAAAGTTCATCTTATCATAGTATATAACTGTGTTGCCAAATATAACTTGTAGGGGTGCTTTCTCTTTCCACACCTGGAAATGTAAAAGATTGTACCCACAAGTAAATAATATGCAAATGAAGAGCTAGGGTAGTACAATAGACTTTTCATGCAACTTCTGTCATGCGTTCATATGATAGTCTCCTTCCCGAGTGTTAGGCAATTAGGGCTGGTCTAGCCATTGCATTGATTGTATGTAGGCCATATGAAACTGTCTCATGTTGTGTAGGCTTACTGCCACTTTGGTGGATAGAGGATGTCTTATAGCCGTCTAATGTGGGATGCCATGAATTTGAGATACAGGCATGTAGAATCATCATGTGATTCAGACATCCAGTGCCTTGACTGGCCATATTACAGTGTATGCAAAGAAAAAATTACACATAAATAAGGGTTTAGGCTACCCTTGTGAGGTACATGGTGTAGAGGAGTTCATAGTTCCAAGTTGCTTTGGTTTGTGGAATGTGAATATGCAGCCAAAAAATGGAAGATAGTGGTGAATATTGGCTTCACTCAGATTCCCAGCAGAACACTGTGCCTGACAACTTCCTGGTGCAGAAAGTATATATTTCCAGCATGTGTTTCTGAGAATATTTTGACAAGAGAAGTTTGCAGTGGGCTGTTTTAAAGACATGTATAGTTCCCACAAATGGACTGGGAAGCATATAAGTAAACCAAAATGGATATTGCAAGCTGCTTGAGGGTTGGAAAGAGAGCAGTAGATTGAAAGTAGCAGACTTGGATGCTCTACAGCATCATTCTGGCAGAAAATGTATAGCTGGAAGAGGCTGTGAGCACAGAGATGGCAAAAAAAGGCAGGCACACAGTACTCTGTAAAACGCGATCTCTCTCTCCAGGTGCCTTGTCTGCCTGGCCACTAATCTGGGCTGTTTGCACCTTGTTGGGCCAGTGGGACCAATTGGGGATTCTGTTGGTGTACCACCCACCCTCCAGCACATTGGTCTCCCTACCTGAGCTGACAGAGCTGGTCTCCAATGTGATGTTGGGGTCCCCCAGGGTGTTGGTTCTTGCTTGGGGCAGCTCAGGATTTCATAGCCTCCATGATAACCATGGGACTTCTCCCATCATATCTTTGGCCCAATACATGTACCAGGACACACACTGGACTTGGGTTTTTTGCCAGATATGAGGGCAGTGCTCTGAGTGTGAAGGGCTTTGATGTAATCCCTTTGTCATAGTCAGATCAGTGCCTGCTGAGATTAAGACTAACGAGCTGTTCACATCTGCAAGAATGGGGAACCTGTTAAGATGGAAACTAATGGATCTGGGTGGTTTCTGGAGGACTCTGAAGAGCATCCTGGTTGATATGGCTGGCGTTCCTGTTGAAACCCTGATGAGCTGTGGCACACAGAGATGACCCAGGCAGTGGACACAATTGCTTCTGGGCTCCTAATCTGTTGTACCACTGTAACTGCTCTGTGGTATAATCTTTAGCTGTGAGCGCTGAAACAACATGGGAGTTATCTTGAGTGCAGGAAAACTAGTGGATGCAATCAAACCATGGTGTATGTCTACAGTAGGGCATACTTAGAGGTGGTGAGAACAGCAAAGAAATAACACCTTCACTGTCTCAGTTCAGACTTCTGTTTACCTCCTAGGAAAACTTTGTTCAAGGCCTGTTACATTCTGCCCCTTCTTAGTACCAGAGGGAGGATTTCTTAGGACCACCTGAGACCCACTTTAATATATTTGCTGGGCTCTTCCAGAAAAAAAAGTCTCTTGCAACTGGTGGGATTTAGGCACCATAGTTAATAGAGCTGGACCAGGTGAGATGCCTGGAGCATAGCCTGATCCAGTTTTATTGGATGAGTTTCAATTGGTACAGCTGAAGGATGTTGACGAAGCGCTTGAAGAAGTTTGTGCAGCCACTGAATCTTTGCCCCTCCTAGCAAGGGTGCGCTCCTGGTACCTAGCTCCTGGATCCTTGCCTCTCCTGCCTCTCCCGTTCACAGTCTACTGGGACATTGTACTCAATATCTGGAACCTTCATCTGAGTGCCAACTCAGAGGGTGGCAACAAGAGGGAGGCTTAAAAAGCCAGGAAGGAAGGAACAGCCTGCTTGGCCAGGGAGGAGATTGATGCCCGTTTGTGAGAGGGAGTGGTCCCATGCTGCCTGAAAGAGGTGGTGGTGGGGCCTCTCCTGAAGAAATCCTCCCTTGACTCAGAAGTTCTGAATAAGTTTTGCCTTGTAGCAAATCTTCCTGGGCAAGCTTCTTGAGCAGCTGGTGGTCAGCCAGCTTCAGGCACTCTTGAATGGGACTGATTATCTGGATCCATTTCAATCAGGTTTCATACCAGGTTATGGTAAAGGAACAGCTTTGATTACCCTGCTTGCTTGCTTGCTTGATTGATTGACTGATTTATATCCTGCCTTTTTCCTACAAAGGGCTCAAGGTAGCTTACATCATTCTTCTCCTCCATCTTATCCCCACAACAACAACCCTGTGAGGTAGGTTTGGCTGAGAGTCTGTGCCTGGCCCAAAGTCACCCAGTTGGCTCCATGGCCAAGCGGGCACTAGAACCCAGATCGTCTGAGTCCCAGTTCCATGCTCTTAACCACTACACCACACTGATGGCCCATGGTGGGAGAGAGATGGGGGACTGTGACCCTATTGATACTCTCAGACCTCTCAGGAACGTTTTATACCATTGATCACAGTATCCTTCTGGGGCTATTCTCTGAGTTGCTAGGAGGGAAACTGCATTGCAATGGCTTGGCTACTATTTGCAGAAACATCTCCAGTAGGTTGTCCTAGGGGACTACTGTTCAACCCAGTGGATTCTCCAGCATGAAGTTTCTCAGGGCTCTGGTCTGTCCCCCATGCTTTTTAACATCTACATGAAGCCACTGAGTGGTGTCATCTGGAGTTTTGGAGTGTGTTGCCATCAGTAAGGCTGATGACATGCAGCTCTATTTCTCCTTTTCATCTTCAGCAGGTGAGGCTGTGGATGTGCTAAACTAGTGTCCAGCTATGGTAATGAACTGGAGGGACGACAAGCTAAAGTTCAATCCAGACAAGACTAAGATGATATTAGTGGGTGGCTCATTTGACTGGATGGAGGTAGCTGAACCTGTTCTGGATGGGGTTGCGCTTCCCTTAGAGTTAGATTTGTAGCTTGAGGGTAGTTCTTGATCCATCTTTGTCACTTGAGGATGAGGTGACCTCAGAGATATGAAGTGCCCTTCATAGGCTTTAGCTGGTGGCCCAGGTATGCCCGTTTCTGGCGAGGGACAGCCTGGTTTCAGTAATCTACACTCTGGTCATTTTTAAACTAGATTACTACAATGCAGGCTGTGTGGGTCTGTTCTAGGAGATTGTTCAGAAGCTGCAGCCTGTGCAGAATACAGTAGCCTGATTAATTACCGGGACCTGTAAGTCTAAACATAGAAGACCAGTTCTGCTTGCTTACACTGGCTGCCTGTACACTTCCAAGTCCAATTCAAGGTGCTAGAGTTAACTTACTCTTACACACTTTGGAACCACAATACTTGACAGAGTTCCTCTCCCAGCTGCAATCTACTTGGACACTGTGCTCAGTATCTGGGACTTTCATCTGGGTGCCAACTCAGGTGAGAAGAGGGAGGCTTTCTCACTGGTGGCCTCCCTTCCATAACAATTATGGAATGGCCTCCCCATGGAGGATCATGTGGTACCAGCTTTGTCATCTTTTCAGCACCAGGTTAAGATGGACTGTTACGCCAAGGCTTCTGAAGATGCACTGGGATATCCAAGGGGATTACCTATCTCAGATTTTTCTTCATTATATATTTCTAGTGGGTTTAAATTTTAAATGTTTAGTATTTTTATACAATTTTATGGCATATTATTATATTGTTTTTATGAACTTTTGTAAACTGCCCAGAGAGTTTCAGCTATTGGGAGGTAGAGTACTGATATGGTAATTGATGATGATGTTCCATCTAGAACTAGCTAAGAGACTGTGTTGCAAGTCACCGTCTGAATTTATTCAGATATTGCCTTTGGCATAAGTTTAGATAACATTTCTGGCTTTTCTTACAGTGTGGCTGTAAGGATTACAACAGGTAAAGCATATGAAATGCTTTGACCCTTGAACACAGAACACAAATGTTGTTATTATTACTCCAGGCAAGCCTTAGGCCATTGTACTGGAAGATAAATGTTTTTAAGGAAGGAATAATGGGCCAGAAGGTTCTATTGGTCTACCTATTACTTCAATTATGTAACTAGCTGCTACATCTTTTTCTCACTTTCAAGTGAATGCAGGGGGTACAAGTAGTACATTCAAATATTACAAATGTAGATTGTAGAAGCAGTGGCTTCATCCAGCCAGGACTGCATGGGGAGCAGAGGGTTAAAGCGCCTTACCTCCAACACTGGGACCCATTCTGGATCATGCCCCTTGCACTTAGTTTTGAGTAAAGGGGAAAACGGAAATAGCTGCTAGCTGTATCTTTAAGGTGTGGCTTGACACCCGTCATATGTTCAGCAGATTATTCTGTAAAAGGTCTCCTCCAATTCGAGTTTCAAGCTAAGCCAAGCTAACTGGAAAGAGCTTTCACATCCCTTCTGATAAAACAAAATAGGTCTGGTTTCTTTCCTGTACTTGGCAGCTCGCTGCTGCTGCTTACAGAAGCAGTGGCAGTAGCAAGAGTCATATATGCAAGTGCAGAAATGCCCAGCCCTCACAAATAATTAAGGGGAAGAAAAGCAGCTCTTTAGATGCTTGGCTGTGCAACCTGTTCCTTTATTACAAGTGCTTGCATGATTAAAAGTGAACTTTATTATGATTATTTTTTGCTTCAGTGTTTTTCTGTATGCTTTGAAATGAAAAATGGATGCCAAGTTAAAGGGAATCGCTGCCCGGAACCGTTGCTCTAGCGTAGCTGTTGTGTCA